GCTCTCACGCCCACACCGGATATGGACCGAACTGTCTCACGACGTTCTGAACCCAGCTCACGTACCGCTTTCATGGGCGAACAGCCCAACCCTTGATTCCAAGCCCAAAGTCGTTGTGTGAGTATGCCCTCGTTACGGCAAGGGTGTCAGGTCCACGGAAGAACGAAAAAGCCAAAAAAAATTGAAACTGAACTTAAGCCGGGAAAGCGGGTTCATACATTCTGCAAAGTTATAGTGTGGGCATGCCCCCCTCCACAAAGTGTCAGCAGCCCGTGGACCGCGCCGTGCCTCCCTGGCGGGGCACCAAAACCAAAAAAAGAAAGAAAACAAGAAACACAAACAATGAAAACCTGAAACTGGCCACTATAGCGGTTAGATACGAACATGTGAGTTTTGGTGTGAGCACAACTTGGTGCATGGCCTTCCCCGACACGATCTTTGGTTTTTCTTTTTGTTTTTCGAAGGGGCCCACAAGGCCCAACTGCTGAGACTCGTCCAACCCCCGAAAAGTTCGGAAAAGAAGGGAAAACAGCCAGTTTTCCCATTTTTCCCAAGAGTGACGGAGGTAGTGGTGGTTTAAGGGGGTAACCGCTAACCTTCTTGTATCTCTCTGATTCCATCAGGATTCAAACTCATGATCTGTTTGTCACATGCGTGCTATTCAGCCACATGGGCTTCAGGACACAGACATGCATACGCACCCAGACTGCCCCTTTTTTTTTCCCTTTTTTTTCAAAGACTGCCCCATTCCCTCAACCAAAACAGTAACTGGGAAATGCTTTGTGGGGCGGGGGGCAGGGGGACAAAACATTCTTGCAAGGATTTAAACCCTCGGCATACCTGTATATGCCCCCCTATAATCAAAACGTGCCCGCCCTAAGTGAAGGCGGGCCCCGAATCTCGAGGAGGCCTGAATTCGTCAATTTTGCAAAGCCGCAGTGGGTGCCAGACGGTTACCACGTGCCAGTTGATAACATCCAGACAGATTGTGAGAATCAGAAATATTTGTGAGCCTTCTACGCTCTTCCAGCAACTCAGGGGAAGCAGGGAACACCACATGTTTGTGCCTGGGTGCTTGGGCATGCCCAACCAATTCGGTCCCAGGCCACTATCTGAATGGGCCTGGGCGCAGACACTTGGGCCTAGCCTGAAGCTACTGGGCACACGCAAGGCCAGGCCAGGCAGTCAACAACCCGGGCCACTTTGCATATAGCAAAGTGCCTGGCCGGGCAGCAGGCATTCCGGCACTTGCTAGTGCAAGCGGAGGCGCTGCTGGAGCGTTCGCTCGCACCTGCTTGCTAGCACTGGGTGGTGCAAGAAAGCGAGCGCGGCCATGAGAGAGGGCGCTGCAATCAGGCAGCGCCATAGCCCAGCCCCCATAGACAGGCTTGGGCTTGGAAGGAGGTCAGCAGGGTTCGGTGGTGGTCTTCGGTTGGTGTAGAGCCGTGGAAGGAGAAGACGAGGATGAGCGAGAGAGGGGGAGTGATGGGGTGATGCGAGGGCACATACCTGGTCCTGGCGATGGTCTGCATGAGCGACATCTGCATGTACTTTGGTTATTGCTGCTGACGTCAACTGGTTGTTTCATCATTTTGTCAGCTAGTAGTATAACTGTAGGATCGTAGTCTGGGAACTGAGCGCCAAAAGGAGGAAGAGCTTCGATTGCATTGTTGGTGGTGGCGAGAGTATGCTTTCATTGACAATTGAGTCCGCTGCTTTGGTTCTCCTTCAGTGTGACATCAGTGCATTTTCTGCTTTCTGGACAGCTTTTGGCTATCTGGCTTTCAATGTGATTTTTGCAATCTGGAATTCTGTTATTTCGCTATTGTTCATTTTCCTTGTTTCATCATTTTGTCAGCTAGTAGTATAGCTGTAGGATCGTAGTCTGGGAACTGAGCGGCAATAGGAGGAAGAGCTTTGATTGCATTGTTGGTGGTGGCGAGAGTATGCTTTCATTGACAATCGAGTCCGCTGCTTTGGTTCTCCTTCGGTGTGACATCAGTGCATTTTCTGCTTTCTGGACAGCTTTTGACTATCTGGCTTTCAATGTGATTTTTGCAATCTGGAATTCTGTTATTTTGCTGTTGTTCATTTTCCTTGCAATTTGGTATCAGAGCTGGTTTAAGCTGCTCCGCTGGCTTCAGCGCAATAGCTGTTCGGTGCTTATTCTTGGAATGAGGGGCAGTGATAAAGCTTGTGCGCTGGATATATAGGCGGCCCGGTGTGGAGAGGGCACACCTGGAAGGCTATGTGGTGATATTGGGGTGCACGCGGGATGATGAGAGCGTGCTGACGTGGCATTTAAGCCGAGGTGGAACCGCATTGTATTGTGGGTTGTGCCGAGGCACTGACCAGTCATCATAAATGCACGCCAGGTCAACTGGTGAGAAATCTGTGGTTGGGGTCAGCATTATGAGGTACGTTGCTCCTTACCTTATCTGCCTTCTTCATTGCTTCTTACTGTGAGGAAGTGAGTCTTGTCTTGAGAGTCCTCTCATAGCGAGGTATTGCGAGCGCTCAACCTTGGGAGCCGACATTCTTCCTGGAGAGCATGCTGGTGGGAAACGGGCGTTGCCTCTAAAGGGCCCTGGGCGAAGCACTTGGGTCACGGTCATCATGCCAACCCACTGTGAGTAGAGCACGCATGCTTTGCTGCTTGTCCTTTTGTCTGCTTTGCTGCGCTATAGAGGTTGTGTCAGGCAGGCCAGCCCTATGGGGGAGAGACTAGTACCGAACCGTCTACAAAGAGACTCCGGCAGGTATCCACGACTCGCACTGTACGCGAGTAAAAAAAATAGTGCGGACGTGGCTGGCCGGTTTGACATCGACTTGGGGCACAGGGGTGGGCCGTGTGCACACCTTTAGACACGCTGCTCAACCAGAGCTTTCGGGACATCGACACTAAGTGAACACTCAAGAAAGATTAACGGGGGGGAAGGTTCCAGTTAACAGCTCGATTATTAATTATTGTTTCACTTCCATTCAGCATGCATTTCAGCAAATGATTTTATTTTTATTTTTGATTAGTTCGTTGTCACAGACTCTGCCGACAACCGACAGACTGCTGCAGGTAGAGTAGAAAATTATTCTTTGCTGCATTGCAATCTGTTTTAGACTAGTCGAATTAGGAGTAGAATTGTTTGTAGGGGTCTGAGCTTATCTGCTGTTACCGCTTGACAACTTTCTGACATATCTGGACCAAGTAATCATTTTATTTTTATTTATTTTAAGAATCGGTTGGATGCCATGCTGCGGTAAGTCCCAGCTAGGACATTAGTGCAGATTGCATGCCACACATAGCTTATGAGTGAAGATGACAGTGAGGTTGAGAAGCCAGATCAGGATGAAAGGAGGCTTACCCGTAGACAGGCACTGAGTCAGCCGACCACTTTCTTGGTGTTAGAACCAGGAGAGGAAAGGAGACTGCATAGAGAAGCTGAGCGGAGGAGACACTTGCAAAGGGCACAGGAGGCAGCAGCCAACGCATTGAGAGCATTAGCAGATGCAGCAGCAGCACAAGCTAGGGCTGAAGCGAGGCCAGCGATGGCTACCTCCTCTGCAATGTCCCAGGCCTCTTCTCAGGCCTCTTCGTCGGGTGTTAGTCAGGGTATGTCCCAGCCTTTCTTCAGTCAGTCTGCTGGCTTGCAGGTCATCCAGCAGCAGCACATGTCAGCGGTGGATTACGAGATCCGGCAAACGGATGCTCTTTGCGATGAGTTACAGGATGTAGAGGACAGGAGAGAAAGAGCTAAAACAAGAAAAGCTAGATTAGAGGCTAGGGGACAGGAGCTAAGCAAATTAGAAGCTATAGATGAGTCAACACTTGATCCCGCTGTTAGGTCCCTTCGGCGCAGTCTTTCGAGTGTGGCTGAGCTACAGGCCGTGCAGCAGGAAACGTTGGCCGCCTGATAGCTGACCAGAATAAAATTCTGGTTGCGCTTAGAGCGCCTAGGCCTATGGCTAGGTCAGCGCAACCTGCTGTAGCTCCTCCTATGGTTGCAGGTCCATCGATGATGCTGCCGTCCATGAGAAGTCCCTTTGTCCCACAGTTTGGCGTAAGTCCAGCAAGTGGTAC